AAGAGAGAGAGAGAGAGAGAGAGAGAGAGAGAGAGAGAGAGAGAGAGAGAGAGAGAGAGAGAGAGAGAGAGAGAGAGAGAGAGAGAAAGCAGACAAGCACATGGCATACGTAGCAGATCGGCTGGTCACATGATACTTGGAAAACACAGCAAACAGAGTCAGACATGGAGTTCTTAGCAAAGAGATCAACAGGATATCATTTCCTCAGAAAAGTGCAGAGTTGTCCAAGTCTGCAGCTGTGTGGGTCATTGCACAAGGAAAAAAACGTTCCTCTCCCATCGAAAACCACAAGTAAAAAAAAAAAAAAAAAAAAAAAAGAGAAAAAAAAAGAAGAAAACGCAAGTAACAGGGGAACTAACTACCGCAATCAAAGGGAAGAAAACCAATTCGTTTGTGTTCCTGCCTGTTTTCTTGAAAGCGAAGCTGCAAAGTTATATAGTCTCTCTCTCTCTCTATATATATTGTCACATGATATATATATAGGGCCTCGCTGCACTACTCTCCACGTGCACAAAAGACAAAAATATGGCGGTGCATCTTGCCATGTTCTAGCAGAAGATTCATTCTCATTTTGCACATTTGGAGAGTAGTGCGGCGAGGCCCATAGGTAATAGGTCGTCTTTTTTTGTATTTGTATACATGGAAGCAATTGACTACGTGGTCATGTCTCTGCTTCGTTTTTACTACCTAGTGCTTGTTGTATCGATGATGAGCATGCATGTGTTGCTGTACCGAATTAATTTTTAGTTTCTTTTTTTTCACCTTTTTTTCTAGACTACCAGAGTGGCCCGGGGCCACTTGCCTGGCCGGGCCAAAAATGAATACAAATAGGAAAATATATATATCTGATATATATATGATATATATCTGATATCATGTGACAATATATATATATTTATTTTAATTTTTATTTCAAAATTGGTGAAGAATATCGGTGTGACCCTGAGGCAAAAGTTGTTCCGTTTATTTTTCTGCATAACGTAGTTTTTTTTTCAGATTTTTTAGATTTTTTTTTTCTCGGGACCTTCCCTGGTCCTTGCACGGCCGGACCGCCCGGGAAAAGAAGGTGACCCGGGCGGCCCGGCTGGTAGCCTAGACTTTTTTTTTTTTTTTTTTTTGGTTTGAAAGGGCTAATTCCTTCATGCCCAACCAATTCAAATTACCTGTCGAATCTGGACAGGACGGCCTTTCAGGCCTACACCTTTTTTTTTTTCTGTTTTTTTTTTGGTTTGAAAAGGGCTAATTCCTTTATTTTTCCAGGCCTTTCTTTATTGTCATTATAGTTATTACGTGGACCCCCGTCGCAGCCATATCCTTCCTTGCTCAAGCCTCCAATCATATGGAACATGGGCCTGTCGCTGTGCCTCCCCCCCTCCGGTCCCCTCCCCCTATGAACATCAGCAGTCTCTGCCCAATGCCACTTGAGGGGGGTGACGAAGGGCCGATCTGTAGGTGGCGCGGGCGAAGTTTGCCCTTCTATATCCTGATTCAGAGCAGAGAAGGGTCCGCTCCGCTTGTTGGCATCAACGGCGGCTAACGTCTGTGTGGTGAGAAATGGCGCCACTGAAAAAGGTTTTTAGTCTAAGGCGTGGGGACTTTTTCCCGCCTTTTTTTTCCCGCCTCTCACAGACTACGAGTGAACCCTCCGCTCGATGGAGTCCAGATGCAGCTGTGGGTATCGGTTGCATACTCGCGCGTTCGATATCTTTTTTTTAATTTTTGGAAGATGATGATGATGATGATTAGTCAAGACGTGGGGTCCCTTTCCCGCCTTTTTTCTCCTCTCACAGGTTAAAGCGAACCTGCGCTCGGAGTCAGTCCAGATGCAGCTGTGGGTACCGGTTATGTACTCTCTTTATTCGGTATCCAATTGATAAGGCAAGTGGATTTTGTACGCATATACGCTCTGATTTACAGTGTGACAATAGATATGTATTTACAGTATATATGTATATATGTATTTACAGTATATATGTATTTACAGTAATGATTGAATTAACGGCCAGTCGTAGTTTAGTCCTTCCTTTGGTCGACGGTGAAATGCCCCTTTCCTCGTCACCCTGACTGTACGCACGTGTTTTATCGCTCCCTGCTGCTCTCCCCTCTTCGCCCCCTCCTCTCCTCCTTCTCTTACTTCTTCCCCTCCTATCTGTCTGTTCTGCTGTCTGGCGCTTGTTCTCTCTCTCTCTCTCTCTCTCTGTGCTTCTCCATCTCTTCGCTCGCCTTCGCTCTCCTTCTCTGTCCTTCTCTCTCCTTGTCTGTGTGTATGCGTGTGTGTGTGCGTGACCTCAAACCCCACGTGCGAGATCTGTGCCTGGGTTCGAACCCCACGTGCTTCCGAGAGAAATCTGTGTGTGCGTGCGTGCATGTGTGTGTGGTTGTCCTTCTCTGTCCTTCTCTCCTTTCCCTCCGTCTCTCTCTCTCTCTCTCGTCCTTTCCTATCTGGCTTCGTACGCTCTCCGCCATCTTCTTCTTCTTCTTCTTCTTCTTCTTCTTCGTCTTCTGCTTCTCTGTCCTTCTCTGTCGTTCTCTGTCATTTTGTCCTTCTCTCCTTTCCCTCTGTCTCTCTCTCTCTCTCGTCCTTTCCTATCTGGCTTCGTAGCCTCTCCGCAATCTTCTTCTTCTTCTTCTTCTTCTTCTTCTTCTTCTTCCTCTTCTTCTTCTTCTTCTTCTTCCTCTTCTTCTTCTTCTTCTTCTTCTTCTTCTTCTTCTTCTTCTTCTTGGTTTTGGCGCTGCTTTGCGCAGATCAGTCATTCGACATCATCATCGTCGTTGTGAATGCCGGGGGCGCTCGGGTAAGGAGGACTCTGGGAGACAGTTGAGCTGTTAGCGATGGCGGCAAGCAGGAAAAGCAGACGAAGAGGGGACGTGGGGCTTGAGTCCCTGGCTGTTGCCCCATATTGTTTATGGCTATGCATTCTTATTATCGTTGCGTCTTTCATCGGGGCAACTTATGCGTCATATCCGACAACTATGGTGGGAGCAAGAGGAGGAAGGGGAGGAGGAGGAGGAGGAGGAGGAGATGTCAATGAGTTTGACTCTAGGGCATCTCAGTCGAGGGTTGGCAGGCGTGGGTTCAACATTCACGGTCGGATCTGGATCGAGAAGATGCCGACGGTCAAGATTAGTCAAGTGAAGCTGGTTCTGGATGGCGGGGAGAGGGTGACTTTCCTAAAACAGGAAGGTTTCTTCAGCTTTCTGGACGTGCCAGTCGGGATCCATTTGCTGGAAGTTGTCGCGATGGGGTACATGTTTGTGCCAGTCCGAATTGACGTCAGCCCTCGATATGAAGGCAACACACGTGCAATGTGGACGGACGAAACCACCCACGTGAAGGAGGGGATGATGGTGCTGCACCCTTTGCAGCCGATCGAGTACTACGAAAAGCGAGAGCCTTTCTCGGTGTCTGGCATGCTGAAGAATCCCATGGTCTTGATGGTCCTCTTCATGGTTGTCGCTATGTTCCTTCTTCCCAAACTGGTTGAAAACATGGACCCTGAAGCAATGAGAGAACTTCAACAAGAGATGACCCCCCAACCGGCGATGGCGAAGGTGGCTCTGGGAAAGGACAGTTGAGCTGCTGCTCTCAGCACAGGGAAGATAGATGGAGGAGGGTACATAGGAGATGTGGCGGCGATGATTGGGATCTCGGGTTTGTTGGGACCGGATCGAGGAGGGTACATAGGAGATGTGGGTGGCGATCATGGAAGTAAGAGCTAAGCTGCTGCTCTCTCCTGTGTGACCGGATCGGGATCTGAAGGTTTTTGGGATGGGACAGGATGCGGCGACGATTGGGATCTCGGGTTTGTTGTTGGTTCAGTGCAGTGCACAGCCCCTATGGAGGCACGAGGAGTTGTGGTCCCCCCTGCCCCCCTCCCCCCCATCCCGCCCCCCTTCGCGGCAAGGCGGCTTTTGGAGTCGGGATGGCATTGTAAGAGAGGGGGGTTGGGGTGAAAATGTGCCGGCAGTATGGAAGAGGAGGGGGGAGGGCGCGGTGAGGGCAGGGGAGGGGATTCTCTGCGCCGCCGTACAACTAGGGTTGGTTGTCAATTTCGAAGTGGATCGAGAAGGGGGGAAGAGAGAGAACCCGGTGGGAGGGAGGGGGAGGAGCGAGGTGAGACGCGGAGTAACAGCCAGGATAGTTGAATGGGTTGACACATTCGCAGTGGGATTGGGAAGGGGCGTGGTGATGTGACAAAGGGAGGAACGTACTTAGGGCGCAGTGGGAGAGGGGCTAGGGCGCAGTGGGAGAGGGGCTAGGGCGCAGTGGGAGAGGGCGAGAAGGGGCAGTGAAGAGGGAGAGGGGGGGGTGCCTACAGGCTCTGCAACGGCCCAGCTCTGAGATAGTTGGGGATAAGGACAAGAGGCCTTGTCAGCAGTGTGGTTGGAGAGGCGATGAAGAGGGGTGTGTGTTGTTGGTAGGGGTTTTGAAACCCTATCAGCAAGGGCGGGGGTTGGAGGGTATCAACAGTGGAGTAGCAGAAGGGTGCAGAAGAGAAAGGTCGGGGGTAAGGGAGGAGTGCGTGTGCAGATGGGAGAGCTTTCATCAGCGGCAGAAAAGGAGGATTGAAGATTGGAATCCGATTTTGGCATGATAGCATTTGGTGGAACTGGTGAAGCCTTCAGGTCGAATGGGACACAGGGGAATGGGACAGAGGGCTCGTAGTACCTACCTAAGTGACAATCGGCAGACGGGAAAGAGAGCCTAAATCGACGGACTTGAGTTAGTCCGTCGCACGATCAGTCAAGATCAAGGCCAGGACAGGCATTGGGCGCTCAAAACTCCCTGTGTATTCAGTGCAGTACAACTCACGTCTTCCTGCTTCGTGTGCGTACACGTCTCGATCAAAGAGAAAAGCTCATTTGTTCAGCAGTCAGAATGTTGCCGGCAGCTGGCTGGTTGGTGGGAACGAGGAGTAGGGGATTTATATTTGGTGTGTATTTTGCCAACCATC